GAGAGGGTCAGGGGAGAGGGTGAGAGGAGCAGGGGGAGGAGGAGAGGGTCAGGGGAGAGGGTGAGAGGAGCAGGGGGAGGAGGAGAGGGTCAGGGGAGAGGGTGAGAGGAGCAGGGGGAGGAGGAGAGGGTCAGGGGAGAGGGTGAGAGGAGCAGGGGGAGGAGGAGAGGGTCAGGGGAGAGGGTGAGAGGAGCAGGGGGAGGAGGAGAGGGTCAGGGGAGAGGGTGAGAGGAGCAGGGGGAGGAGGAGAGGGTCAGGGGAGAGGGTGAGAGGAGCAGGGGGAGGAGGAGAGGGTCAGGGGAGAGGGTGAGAGGAGCAGGGGGAGGAGGAGAGGGTCAGGGGAGAGGGTGAGAGGAGCAGGGGGAGGAGGAGAGGGTCAGGGGAGAGGGTGAGAGGAGCAGGGGGAGGAGGAGAGGGTCAGGGGAGAGGGTGAGAGGAGCAGGGGGAGGAGGAGAGGGTCAGGGGAGAGGGTGAGAGGAGCAGGGGGAGGAGGAGAGGGTCAGGGGAGAGGGTGAGAGGAGCAGGGGGAGGAGGAGAGGGTCAGGGGAGAGGGTGAGAGGAGCAGGGGGAGGAGGAGAGGGTCAGGGGAGAGGGTGAGAGGAGCAGGGGGAGGAGGAGAGGGTCAGGGGAGAGGGTGAGAGGAGCAGGGGGAGGAGGAGAGGGTCAGGGGAGAGGGTGAGAGGAGCAGGGGGAGGAGGAGAGGGTCAGGGGAGAGGGTGAGAGGAGCAGGGGGAGGAGGAGAGGGTCAGGGGAGAGGGTGAGAGGAGCAGGGGGAGGAGGAGAGGGTCAGGGGAGAGGGTGAGAGGAGCAGGGGGAGGAGGAGAGGGTCAGGGGAGAGGGTGAGAGGAGCAGGGGGAGGAGGAGAGGGTCAGGGGAGAGGGTGAGAGGAGCAGGGGGAGGAGGAGAGGGTCAGGGGAGAGGGTGAGAGGAGCAGGGGGAGGAGGAGAGGGTCAGGGGAGAGGGTGAGAGGAGCAGGGGGAGGAGGAGAGGGTCAGGGGAGAGGGTGAGAGGAGCAGGGGGAGGAGGAGAGGGTCAGGGGAGAGGGTGAGAGGAGCAGGGGGAGGAGGAGAGGGTCAGGGGAGAGGGTGAGAGGAGCAGGGGGAGGAGGAGAGGGTCAGGGGAGAGGGTGAGAGGAGCAGGGGGAGGAGGAGAGGGTCAGGGGAGAGGGTGAGAGGAGCAGGGGGAGGAGGAGAGGGTCAGGGGAGAGGGTGAGAGGAGCAGGGGGAGGAGGAGAGGGTCAGGGGAGAGGGTGAGAGGAGCAGGGGGAGGAGGAGAGGGTCAGGGGAGAGGGTGAGAGGAGCAGGGGGAGGAGGAGAGGGTCAGGGGAGAGGGTGAGAGGAGCAGGGGGAGGAGGAGAGGGTCAGGGGAGAGGGTGAGAGGAGCAGGGGGAGGAGGAGAGGGTCAGGGGAGAGGGTGAGAGGAGCAGGGGGAGGAGGAGAGGGTCAGGGGAGAGGGTGAGAGGAGCAGGGGGAGGAGGAGAGGGTCAGGGGAGAGGGTGAGAGGAGCAGGGGGAGGAGGAGAGGGTCAGGGGAGAGGGTGAGAGGAGCAGGGGGAGGAGGAGAGGGTCAGGGGAGAGGGTGAGAGGAGCAGGGGGAGGAGGAGAGGGTCAGGGGAGAGGGTGAGAGGAGCAGGGGGAGGAGGAGAGGGTCAGGGGAGAGGGTGAGAGGAGCAGGGGGAGGAGGAGAGGGTCAGGGGAGAGGGTGAGAGGAGCAGGGGGAGGAGGAGAGGGTCAGGGGAGAGGGTGAGAGGAGCAGGGGGAGGAGGAGAGGGTCAGGGGAGAGGGTGAGAGGAGCAGGGGGAGGAGGAGAGGGTCAGGGGAGAGGGTGAGAGGAGCAGGGGGAGGAGGAGAGGGTCAGGGGAGAGGGTGAGAGGAGCAGGGGGAGGAGGAGAGGGTCAGGGGAGAGGGTGAGAGGAGCAGGGGGAGGAGGAGAGGGTCAGGGGAGAGGGTGAGAGGAGCAGGGGGAGGAGGAGAGGGTCAGGGGAGAGGGTGAGAGGAGCAGGGGGAGGAGGAGAGGGTCAGGGGAGAGGGTGAGAGGAGCAGGGGGAGGAGGAGAGGGTCAGGGGAGAGGGTGAGAGGAGCAGGGGGAGGAGGAGAGGGTCAGGGGAGAGGGTGAGAGGAGCAGGGGGAGGAGGAGAGGGTCAGGGGAGAGGGTGAGAGGAGCAGGGGGAGGAGGAGAGGGTCAGGGGAGAGGGTGAGAGGAGCAGGGGGAGGAGGAGAGGGTCAGGGGAGAGGGTGAGAGGAGCAGGGGGAGGAGGAGAGGGTCAGGGGAGAGGGTGAGAGGAGCAGGGGGAGGAGGAGAGGGTCAGGGGAGAGGGTGAGAGGAGCAGGGGGAGGAGGAGAGGGTCAGGGGAGAGGGTGAGAGGAGCAGGGGGAGGAGGAGAGGGTCAGGGGAGAGGGTGAGAGGAGCAGGGGGAGGAGGAGAGGGTCAGGGGAGAGGGTGAGAGGAGCAGGGGGAGGAGGAGAGGGTCAGGGGAGAGGGTGAGAGGAGCAGGGGGAGGAGGAGAGGGTCAGGGGAGAGGGTGAGAGGAGCAGGGGGAGGAGGAGAGGGTCAGGGGAGAGGGTGAGAGGAGCAGGGGGAGGAGGAGAGGGTCAGGGGAGAGGGTGAGAGGAGCAGGGGGAGGAGGAGAGGGTCAGGGGAGAGGGTGAGAGGAGCAGGGGGAGGAGGAGAGGGTCAGGGGAGAGGGTGAGAGGAGCAGGGGGAGGAGGAGAGGGTCAGGGGAGAGGGTGAGAGGAGCAGGGGGAGGAGGAGAGGGTCAGGGGAGAGGGTGAGAGGAGCAGGGGGAGGAGGAGAGGGTCAGGGGAGAGGGTGAGAGGAGCAGGGGGAGGAGGAGAGGGTCAGGGGAGAGGGTGAGAGGAGCAGGGGGAGGAGGAGAGGGTCAGGGGAGAGGGTGAGAGGAGCAGGGGGAGGAGGAGAGGGTCAGGGGAGAGGGTGAGAGGAGCAGGGGGAGGAGGAGAGGGTCAGGGGAGAGGGTGAGAGGAGCAGGGGGAGGAGGAGAGGGTCAGGGGAGAGGGTGAGAGGAGCAGGGGGAGGAGGAGAGGGTCAGGGGAGAGGGTGAGAGGAGCAGGGGGAGGAGGAGAGGGTCAGGGGAGAGGGTGAGAGGAGCAGGGGGAGGAGGAGAGGGTCAGGGGAGAGGGTGAGAGGAGCAGGGGGAGGAGGAGAGGGTCAGGGGAGAGGGTGAGAGGAGCAGGGGGAGGAGGAGAGGGTCAGGGGAGAGGGTGAGAGGAGCAGGGGGAGGAGGAGAGGGTCAGGGGAGAGGGTGAGAGGAGCAGGGGGAGGAGGAGAGGGTCAGGGGAGAGGGTGAGAGGAGCAGGGGGAGGAGGAGAGGGTCAGGGGAGAGGGTGAGAGGAGCAGGGGGAGGAGGAGAGGGTCAGGGGAGAGGGTGAGAGGAGCAGGGGGAGGAGGAGAGGGTCAGGGGAGAGGGTGAGAGGAGCAGGGGGAGGAGGAGAGGGTCAGGGGAGAGGGTGAGAGGAGCAGGGGGAGGAGGAGAGGGTCAGGGGAGAGGGTGAGAGGAGCAGGGGGAGGAGGAGAGGGTCAGGGGAGAGGGTGAGAGGAGCAGGGGGAGGAGGAGAGGGTCAGGGGAGAGGGTGAGAGGAGCAGGGGGAGGAGGAGAGGGTCAGGGGAGAGGGTGAGAGGAGCAGGGGGAGGAGGAGAGGGTCAGGGGAGAGGGTGAGAGGAGCAGGGGGAGGAGGAGAGGGTCAGGGGAGAGGGTGAGAGGAGCAGGGGGAGGAGGAGAGGGTCAGGGGAGAGGGTGAGAGGAGCAGGGGGAGGAGGAGAGGGTCAGGGGAGAGGGTGAGAGGAGCAGGGGGAGGAGGAGAGGGTCAGGGGAGAGGGTGAGAGGAGCAGGGGGAGGAGGAGAGGGTCAGGGGAGAGGGTGAGAGGAGCAGGGGGAGGAGGAGAGGGTCAGGGGAGAGGGTGAGAGGAGCAGGGGGAGGAGGAGAGGGTCAGGGGAGAGGGTGAGAGGAGCAGGGGGAGGAGGAGAGGGTCAGGGGAGAGGGTGAGAGGAGCAGGGGGAGGAGGAGAGGGTCAGGGGAGAGGGTGAGAGGAGCAGGGGGAGGAGGAGAGGGTCAGGGGAGAGGGTGAGAGGAGCAGGGGGAGGAGGAGAGGGTCAGGGGAGAGGGTGAGAGGAGCAGGGGGAGGAGGAGAGGGTCAGGGGAGAGGGTGAGAGGAGCAGGGGGAGGAGGAGAGGGTCAGGGGAGAGGGTGAGAGGAGCAGGGGGAGGAGGAGAGGGTCAGGGGAGAGGGTGAGAGGAGCAGGGGGAGGAGCAGAGGGTCAGGGGAGAGGGTGAGAGGAGCAGGGGGAGGAGGAGAGGGTCAGGGGAGAGGGTGAGAGGAGCAGGGGGAGGAGGAGAGGGTCAGGGGAGAGGGTGAGAGGAGCAGGGGGAGGAGGAGAGGGTCAGGGGAGAGGGTGAGAGGAGCAGGGGGAGGAGGAGAGGGTCAGGGGAGAGGGTGAGAGGAGCAGGGGGAGGAGGAGAGGGTGAGGGGAGAGGGTGAGAGGAGCAGGGGGAGGAGGAGAGGGTGAGGGGAGAGGGTGAGAGGAGCAGGGGGAGGAGCAGCAGCATGAGAGGCGAGGTGGAAAGAGCGGGTGAGAAGAGCGAATGGGATTAGCGGGCGGATGAAGAATTGTGACAAGGAACTGAGAAGGGGCAAGAAAGTTGGAGAACAGAAATGCAGAAAACAGGAAATGCATGCCCCTCTCTCACCTCTCACCTATGCAGGCAGAGAGAGTCCACATAAAGAAACCGGATCCCTCTCTCACCTCTGCCTCCACGCCCCTCTCCATCCACACTTATTAGTCGCTTCACCCCACCTGCTCCTCGCATTTACCCTGCTCCACCCCTCATCTTTCCTCCCTTCCTCCTCTCTCACCTCTGCCTCCACGCCCCTCTCCATCCACACATGCAGCTTCTGCTGCGGTAAGCAATTCACCCTGCCTTCCTCCTCGCACACAACACTCTCGAGTCCCCCCTCTTCTATCCTCCCTCCCTTCCCTCTCTCTCACCTCCGCCTCCACGCCTCTCTCCATCCACACGTGCAGCTTCTGCTGCTGTGCTGATACCCATGCAGAGAACAGGCGCTTCATCACAGGGTCGATCTGAGGAAAAGGCAGACACATAAGAATGATTTTCAGGCACGCATGAGCCTCAGAAACAACGTCATGACTTTTGGGTTGACTTAAAAGTCACTTCAGGCACGCATGAGCCTCAGAAAAAGCTTCTGCTGCTGCGCTGACACCCATGCTGAGAACAGGCGCTTCATCACAGGATCGATCTGCGGGGAAGGGTGCAGCAAGGAATGTAAGGGAGGGCTCACGGTTATGAGACAGGAACAAATGCGCCCAGGGTCATGAGGTGTTTCAAAACACACCCACGTGGAGAACAGGCGCTTCATGATAGGATCGATCTGCAGGGAAGGCAGAAACATATGGGAGACCGGTTAGTCACTTGGTACAAAACAAAACATAACATTCTCAAGAGGGGAACTGATGAAGTACTTGCTAAGAATAGAAATGAAATAGAAGAAGGACGTTGGCAAGTAGTTCGCCTTCTCTTTTGCCAGCGGCCCTTGGTGAGATGCCCTTGGTGAGATGCCCCTTGGTGAGATGCCCCTTGGTGAGATGCCCCTTGGTGAGATGCCCCTTGGTGAGATGCCCCTTGGTGAGAACTGGTTCGCTTCTCTTTTCTTCTTGCCTTTTGGCGGCCCTTGATGAGATGCCCTCTTCTTTTTTCTTCTCCTCCTCTGCCCGCACCTCCCCATGCACCACCTGCTGCACTCGCCTGTCGGATGCAATTGCATCACAGCACCTCGAGACCAAAGGGAACCCACCTGGTACGGGTTGAGCTCGCTTGCGATCTGTGCTGCATGGCCGTATCCCCCATGCCCCTCTCCTGCTCTCCCCACAGGTGCTATGAACACCTTTGACAGTGGGACTTACCTGGTACGGGTTGAGCTCGCTTGCGATCTGTGCTGCATGGCCGTATCCCCCATGCCCCTCTCCTGCTCTCCCCACAGGTGCTATGAACACCTTTGACAGTGGGACTTACCTGGTACGGGTTGAGCTCGCTTGCGATCTGTGCTGCATGGCCGTATCCCCCATGCCCCTCTCCTGCTCTCTTCTTCTGCTCTTCCTCTGCCCGCACCTCCCCCTGAACCACCTGCTGCACGCGCCTGTCGAATTCGTCCACAGCGTAAAACACCTTGCAGCAGTCGGGGTGCAGCTCTGATACCACTGAGAGGAACGGGTCCTGGTGGGTGGTGATGGATAAGAAGAAGTACACAGGGGGGAAGGCGTTGGGAGTGGTGGAATGTGGTGAGAATGCATGGAGAGGGGTTGGAGGGAAAACGCCTTCCAGAAGTCGGGGTGCAGTGCAGCTCTGATACCACTGCGAGGAACCGGCCCTGGTGGGTCGGAGGTGCACACAGGAAAAAGATATGGATACAAGAAGCACAAACGACTTGCAGAAATCGTTTCTGAGAATTATCTAAGCATATTGCTTTAACCAAGCTCACACAACCCACCAGTTGCAAATCCAGCTGCTGGTGTAGCGCTGCTACTGCCACTGCTGCTGTCCCATACACCCCCAACCGCCTGAACACCTTTCTGAGACTAGCTGATGTGCCATCATACCAGCTCTTGCAACTCACCAATTGAGCGTCAAGCTGTTGGTGTAGCGCTGCTGCTGCCACTGCTGCTGTCCCATACACCCCCAGCCGCCTGAACACCGCACAACAACCACCCTTCGCCGCCCCACCATCCCCTCCCCCTCCCCTTCCCACAACTCACCAGCTGTGAATCAAGCTGTTGATGTAGCGCTGCTGCTGCCACTGCTGCTGTCCCATACACCCCCAGCCGCCTGAACACCGCACAACAACCACCCTTCGCCGCCCCACCATCCCCTCCCCCTCCCCTTCCCACAACTCACCAGCTGTGAATCAAGCTGTTGATGTAGCGCTGCTGCTGCCACTGCTGCTGTCCCATACACCCCCAACCGCCTGAACACCGCACAACAACCACCCTTCGCCGCCCCACCATCCCCTCCCCCTCCCCTTCCCACAACTCACCAGCTGTGAATCAAGCTGTTGATGTAGCGCTGCTGCTGCCACTGCTGCTGTCCCATACACCCCCAGCCGCCTGAACACCGCAACACATCCACCCTTCGCCACCCCACCATCCCCTCCCCCTCCCCTTCCCACAACTCACCAGCCGTGAATCAAGCTGTTGATGTAGCGCTGCTGCTGCCACTGCTGCTGTCCCATACACCCCCAACCGCCTGAATACCGCAACACATCCACCCTTCGCCGCCCCTCCCTCCGCTCCCCCTCCCCTCCCTCTCCCGCCTCCCTTCCCTGTTCGCCCTGCATCCCCCGCAACCATTCCCCCCGCCTCCCTCTCTATAACCACACTTGCCAGCTCAGCCATTTGAGCCAATCCCACCTCTCCGCCCGCCCCTGCTGCTCTGAAATCCGAAGCAGGTCCGTCTGTGGAAGAGTCTGGGAAAGAGAAGGAGGAGCTTCCGTCATTGTCCTGATCCTGTGCGTCTTTCTGGGCTTTCGCTGCTGCTGCTGCTGCCATAGCATCTAGGCACGCACAGTCGAAGGAGGAGAGCACTGACGTGTGAACAAACTCGAGTGCTTCTTCCACCCGCTCCACGCTCGGTGGTCCCCCTGGGGCCTGCGAATCACAGGTGAGAACGAGTAGACAATGCACATGCACACAAGGACAGAGTAGGAGGAGGAGAGCACTGACGTGTGAACAAACTCGAGTACGTCTTCCAGACTCCCACCCGCTCCACGCTCGGTGGTCCCCCTGGGGTCTGGGGGAGAGGAGAGCATGGAAGAGATTGAAAAGGAAGAAAAGGAAGAGAAGGAACAAATTCAGGGTCAAAGAAGGAGGGGCTGCCATCAGCGTGCTGGTCCTGCTGCTGGCCATGGGCGTGCTGCTGGCCATGGGCGTGCTGCTGGCCATGGGCGTGCTGCTGGCCATGGGCGTGCTGCTGGCCATGGGCGTGCTGCTGGCCATGGGCGTGCTGCTGGCCATGGGCGTGCTGCTGGCCATGGGCGTGCTGCTGGGCTTGGCCGTGCTGCTGGGCTTTAGCTGCTGCAGCTGCCATGGCGTCTCTACCCTTCATGCCCACCTCCAGCAGGTCACAGAAGCACAAGCATGAGTCAGAAAAGAAAATAATGCTGCTTGCTCTACGAGGAAATACCTGCCAGTACCACTCCCCAATCCCCTTTCTCACTGTGTGTCTGCGGCTGCTCCTCTTCCTGCCTGCTTCCAGCAAGTCACAGCAGCACAGGTAGGAGTCCAGAGCTGACTCTAGTGCCGCTTGCCTTGATAAGTGTGAGGAGCTTGAAGCCTGTAAGGAAAGAGCTGCCAGCCCCACTCTCCAAATCCCCCCCACTCACTGTGTGTCTGCGGCTGCTCCTCTTCCTGCCTGCTTCCAGCAAGTCACAGCAGCACAGGTAGGAGTCCAGAGCTGACTCTAGTGCCGCTTGCCTTGATAAGTGTGAGGAGCTTGAAGCCTGTAAGGAAAGAGCTGCCAGCCCCACTCTCCAAATCCCCCCCACTCACTGTGTGTCTGCGGCTGCTCCTCTTCCTGCCTGCTTCCAGCAAGTCGCAGCAGCACAGGTAGGAGTCCAGAGCCGACTCTAGTGCTGCCAATCCGTCTGCACTCGCGCCACTGCTGCTGGAAGCCTGGGGAATATTAGAGGATAAAATGGCACGGGTCAGGGGCAGGGACGAGACGAGGGGAAAAAAGAGAGGAGTGAGGAGGCAGGTCGCAGCAGCACAGATGCGAGTCAAGAGCCGACTCTAATGCACCAATCCGTCTGCACTCGCACCAGAATTGCTGGAAGCCTGGGGATTAAGAGGATAAAAAGGCAGGGTTCAGGGGCAGGGGCGAGACGAGGGGGAAAAAGCGCGGAGTGAGGAGGCAGGTCACAGCAGCACAGATGCGAGTCCAGATCCGTTTCTATTGCTGCCAATCTGTCTGCATTTGCGCCAGTACTGCTACTCGCGTTGGATGCCTGGAATCAAAAGCGGGGCAGGGGTCAAGGGAGAGCGGAGAGAGGAGGGGAGATGTGAGGCAGTCATATGGTACGTGAGAGGAGGAGACTACAGAGCCGGGTATGGACATGGACACATGAGCATGGCCACACGGGTTAAGGGATTCAAGCCTGGGGGGTGATAACCCACTCACTTCCAGCAGCGTGTGGTGTGGTGGTAGTCACTTAGAAGCGACGGTCTAAGTTTCAGGCGCCTCAGAAAGAAACTAAGCACTCACCTCCAGCAGGGTGTGGTGGTAGTCACTTAGAAGGGACGACAGGAAGCGAGACACCGACTGCACGAACGGGAGAAGGAGAACCTTCGCTGAAGGTTCCTCTCTGCAATCTGCTGCTGCTACTGCTTTTGCTGCTGCAGCTGCTGTTCCTGCTGCTGCTGTTGCGGATGAGGATGATGATGGTCGTGCACAGGCAGTGGTTGGTAAGCGGCGCAGTGATTGGCAGATGAGCGGAAGCACGGCTCTGATTGGCAGAAGCTGCTGCTGCTGATCTGGCAGACCGCCAGCTGGCGATGGTGATGAGAGCGGGTGAGGGAGGGTTGGAACAGAAGCCTGGGAGAAGAGGAAAGAAGGGAGGATAGAATGAGATGTTTGTTCTTGGTCGATTAAACAAACATGCTGCTGATGTTGATAGACAGCGCGTGAGAGAGGGTTGGAACCGAAGCCTCCAAGAGGACATGCATGTCACCTGGCAATCCATGTCACCTGGCAATCCATGTCACCTGGCAATCCACGTCACCTGGCAATCCACGTCACCTGGCAATCCACGTCACCTGGATGGGCATGCCACCTGGCAGTGAGCACACACCTTCTGGCAGAGAGTCCAGGCTTGCAGGGCACTGTGTGTGACAGGTGTCACTCCCAGAGGCTGCCACGTGGGCCTGATGGCCTCTATTCTCTCCTCCATCTCCTGAAAAATCGTGAGAGAAGCCGGATGAAGCGGAAGTGTTGAGGGGGTAATGAATTTTGAGCAAGCCAGGAAGAAAAGAATCAGAGAGTGTGGATGCTGTCCTGTGCTGTCCTGTCCTGCGCTGTGCTGTGCTGAGCTTACAAAGAGCAGGTCGATGGAAGAGGCCGAATCAGAAGGGTCACAGCAGGCGGACAGCAGCTGATGGTACAGAGACGCGTTCAAGCTCGCTCTGGAGGGACACCAGGCACCAGGCAGCACGGGTAGCTGCTTCCCTTGCCTCCCACCACTGCTACCAGCACCATCACTGCCACTGCCAGCACTGTTGTTGCTTGCTGCTGCGGTCAGTGCTGCTGCGTTTCCCCTCCTGCCGCCCCAGGCGAATCCCCCCACCAGCAGCCAGCGCAGCTCGCTGAGTTTTCGGCTCCACTTGGCCTCAAAGGATGGAGGCGAGGTGATGAACTCGTGACCCTGCATGGGTGGGGAGGGGAAGGAGAAAGATAGGGTGAGAGAGGAGGAGCAGAGGATACGAGCAGCCACCGCAGCTCTTAGAATCAATAAGACAGAGGTTAGGATGGACTGATACGACATGCACTTATTGTGGTGCGCTTTGAGGCGCCTCAAAACTCACCTCAATGCTCGAGAGGAGGAGCAGAGGATAGGAGCAGCCACCACAGCTCTCTTAGCGCCAATATGATGGACTGATACGACATGCACTTATTGTGGTGCGCTTTGAGGCGCCTCAAAACTCACCTCAATGCTCGAGAGGAGGAGCAGAGGATAGGAGCAGCCACCGCAGCTCTCTTAGCGCCAATATGATGGACTGATATGACATGCACTTATTGTGGTGCGGGGGGGCACATAAGCGTCCAGCCCACCCCAACAAGTGCCAGCACGCCATTCAGAGAAGCTGCCACCTCAGCAAGTGCCAGCGCCAGCTCACCTTAACAAGTGCCAGCATGGCATCCAGAGCGGCTGCCACCTCAGCACGATCATCCCCGCCCGCGGCCTCTCCTCCCGCTCCTCCCCCTCCTCCCTTTCCAGTGCCCTGGTGCTTTGCAGTGCCTGTGACATCCAGCAGCAGTTCCTGCAGCAGCTTCACCTGGGGTTGACAAGCGGATAAGGGTGGGGGGTTGACCAATGGGTAGGAAGGAGTGTAGTAAGCATGATAATGTGAAACGTACAAATCAGACTAAGGAAGAAAGTACGAGTGTGGGATTTACATGAGGATCGTGGCACCAAGGATAACAACATTTCTATACCACCAACACACATCCACACAAGCGCGCGCGCGCGCACACGCACACGCACACACACCTGTCTGTGGTAGAAGGCCCTGCGGAGGTCTGGAGACAGATTGGAGAATGTCGCAGCGAGAGAAGAAGCAGCAGCCTTGAGTGCACCAACCCCCGGGGAGAAGGAGGAAGAGAGGGAGGCGGGGATGGGGGAGAAGTGGAGGAGGAAGCAGAGGGGGAGCGGGAGGGGGGGAATGGCGGCAGCTGCTGCTGCTGCTGCTGCACCCGTGAGCGGGCTGATGGGAGATGGCATTTCGACGGTGTGTGATGGGGGTGGGAGGAAGAGGGCTGAGAGGACGAGAGCTTGGAGAGACTCGGGTACCTGTGGAAAGGGGGGAGAGGGAAGCAGGGAAGGGCAGGGGAAAGGAATGGAGAGAGAATGAAGAGAGGCAGGATGATCTGCTGCTGCTGCTGCTGCTGCTGCTGCACCGGTGAGGGGGCTGATGGGGGATGGCATTTCGACGGTATGTGAGGGGGGTGGGAAGAAGAGGGCTGAGAGGAGGAGAGCGTGGAGAGACTCGGGTACCTGCCATAGGTGGGAGCGTGATGGGGAGATACCGGGGACGGAATAAGCACTTGCAGATTGAAAGTTGAAAAAAAAACAACTCCTGGGGAGGAGAAAACATGGGAAGAACAGAGACTGGAAAGAAGCAGATGCATGCAGGGAAAGAATGGTAGGAAAAGGCAAGCGTACGGTAGGACAAGGCAGGAGGAGAAGCGCCGATCACGTACCCCTAATTGCTGCCGCATGCGAGCCAGCTCCGGAGACAGGGCTCCTCCTCCTCCCTCCCCTCCACTCCCATCCCCAATCCCCCTCTCTCCACCACCCCCACCACCACCACCGCCACCGCCACCAGTACCACCAGCAGCAGCAATGCCAGCAGCAGGTTTGGCTCCCTTAAACTGCCCCACGTTGACCCCGACCTTCTTGGCAAAGCGGGACATGAAGCCGCCTGGGGACTTGGACTTGGGCTCTACGGGGGATTCAGGCCGCCGGGGCTTGCTCTTGCTGCTGCCGCTGCTGGCTGCACTGGTGGCACCAGGCGCTGGTGCAGACACAAGCCTGGAGTGGGCGGGGAGGGGAGAGTGACGCGGAGGAAGTAGACTTGATGAGAGCACAGATTTAGCTGCTTCGAGTTGAGTTGCCAGCTTCTTGCCGCTGCTGCTTACACTGGTGGCAGCAGGCGAGGCGCCAGTGTAGATCAGGATGTAGAGAGCACGGGGGAATGGAGTTCAAGAATAAAAGCAGGACAGAGCACTCCATTCCTCGTCCACGAACAGGGAGAGAAACGTCTCAAACCTTGATTCCGTCAGTCAGTCTACTCGAATGCAGCCGTGCTTCTCAGGAGACATCACAAAATCCAATCCAACTCACCCAAACCCTAAACCCTGCTGCAAGAAGCATCACTTCATATGCGCTTGCTTGAAGTAACTTTTGAGTTGAGACAAAAGTCATCTCAACTCAAACCAGGGCACGCTGTTCACCCGGACTCCACTGCTGCAAGCAGCATCACCTCATAGGCGCTTGCTTGAAGCTCCTCTGCCGTCAGCCCCGATGCCAGCTGGTGCGAGCACCAGCACCTCATGAGCGCTTGCTTGTGTCTCTTTCGAAAGCTCTCACTCTTGAAAAGTGACGCAAACTCACCCGGATTCCGCTGCTGCAAGCAGCAGCACCTCATAGGCACTTGCTTGAAGCTCCTCTGCCGTCAGCCCCGATACCAGTTGGCGCAAAGGCCACTTCAGCCGCCCCCTTGCTGAGCTGGCAGAGTCTCCATCTCTTGTGCCAGCTGGCGAGTCCTCGCCACCGCCCGCCACAAGCGTGGAAGACATCTCAGACGAATTCGAACACGAGGACGAATCAGACGATGCCACGTCATCATCGTCCTCGTCATCATTCCACCGCTCCCCATCAGTGCCAGGTGGCAGCTTCTTATTCGACCCACCAGACCTCCAGGCAGATCCCAGGACGCTCCCCTTCCCTCCAGACTCCTCGGCTCTGCCTCTCCCACTCTCGCTCTTCTTGCTTCCTGGTTCCCCAACAGGAGACTGGAAATCCAGCCGGGTTGGGACCGGTGGAGTAACCACAGCTGCAGAAGCCGCAGCAGAAGCAGCAGCACTCCCACCGCCACTCATCTGCACACCAGCACCTGCTGCATTACCAAACCCATGCCCGCTGCTGGCCACAGAAACCCCACCAGCACTGCCACCACCCCTGCTACTAACAGCCGACTCACGCCCCCCTCCAGACTCACGCCCCCCTCCAGACTCACGCCCCCCACCTGTTCCACTACTTGTCACACTCTCCGAACCATATCTATGTGGTGATGGGCCATGGGAATAGGGAGCGTGGGTCTGTGCATCTACAGGAGGAGTGCCAGCAGCAAGAGGAGGGCCTCGTGCTGCCAGAGTAGCCGCACCGAGGGCACTCAGAGCAGCTGCAGCTGCTGCCGATCGGGGAGCAGAAGAACGGTGGGAAGAAGCAGGGCTCCTGTTGCCTCCTGTAGGGGAGGGAGGAGGGTAGAGTGGTTCAGGCGGTGGCGAGCAGGGTTCGTATCGAGTTTCAGGCGGTGGTGAAGGCTGGGCGGAAATAGGACTCCTGCTGCCTCCTACAGGGGAAGGAGGAGGATAGAGTGGTTCACGCGGTGGGGTTTGGGCATACTGAGGTGATGGTTGGGAGGGAGCAGGGCTCCTGCTAGCGCTTGCAGGTGAACGAGGGGAGAGTGGCTGAGGGGATCGAATCTGATACGGAGTACGTGCAGGGCTGTCAGGACCTTGCAGCTGCAGCAATGAAGGCTTTTCTCGTGTTGGTGTCTTGACAGGGTTCGAATTCAGTGCCGGGATGGGCTTTGGACTTGGGGTTTGGGTAATTTGGACATGGTGTGGAGACCCTGATGCTGAGGCGTTTGGGTGATTTGAACTGGACGGTGATGCTGGGGAGGGCTTACCTGGGGAAGGCTGGCCTCCCCAAGCTGCTGCTGCATCTGGTGCACCTCCTGCTCCTGATGAAGCTTCCCTAGCAGCAGCACCTGCGGCGGCGGCGGCTGCTGCTGCTCCAGCTGCTTCTGGTCTGCGCGTTGATCCCTGGGAGAGGGCGTACATGGAGTGAACAGAAGAGGGCTTTTGGTTTTCATGATCAATGGCCCCTGCTGCCGCTACTGGTGCTGGTGCTGCTGCTTCTGCTGCAGTTCCAGCTGCTCCCGCTGCTTCTGGTGTGCCCGGTGAGCCCTGGGAGAGGGCGTACATGGAGTGAACAGAAGAGGCAGAGGAAGAGTAAGCCATAAACACCGAAGCTGATTCCACCGACCCTGCCACTGCCACTCTCTCCCGTGCTCCATCGCTCCCTCCTACGCTTTCCCTCAAATCTCTTCCTCCTGCAGCATCTTCCCCTCCTCCTCCTCGTCCTCGTCCTCCTGCCACCGCCGCCGCTGCTGCTGCTGCCGCTGCTGCTGCTTCTGCTTCTGCTGCTGCCTCTGCATCTGCTGCTGCTGCTGCTCCCTGTCCGAACCCTTCCCCTTCACACTCCAAGCCACTCGCCCCCACTTGTCCCCATCCCCCCCAGTTCAGCGCCCCTGTCACATCTGTCCCTGTGGAGCAGCGAACATCACTCTCAGTGGAATAGCCTTGAGGTGACGCCGCGAATGGAGTGGCAAACAGTTTTTTGGCTAATTGTTGCGCCTTAGGCTTGACTGGGGGAGGCGAATCCGGGGTTTGCTGCTGGGCTGGGGGGGAGAGCGGGAAGAGAGGCCGAGGGGGGGCTAGGAGGGTCTCTGGCTCGGCTCTGGCTGGTGGTTTTGCACGTCCTGCTCCCCAACCTCCCCGTGCTGCTCCTCCGACTGCTGCTCCGCCTGCTGCTGCTGCTGCTGCTGCTGCTGCTGAATCGGATCCGTGAGTTTTAGAGGATTGGTTCGGGACATGATCGGGAGCAGCTGAAGGGACAGCAGCACGGAACGACGGAGCAGCGGGTGCAGAAGGAGCAGAAGGAGCAGGAGGAGCGTATGCAGCAGCAGAGGCGAAGTCTGAGGCTGGCCGGGGATGGTGGGGCTCAGGGGGGAGGCGAGGAGGGGCAGAGAACTCTGGGACTGTGCGGGAGGGGACTGGAAAGGCGGGAGCGAGGCGAGCAGGCGGAGGGCCGGAGGGCTCTGTGGAGGAGAGAATGACGGTGGAGGCGGTGACGAAATCTGCCTGCGAGGCGGAGTTGAGTGGGATGCGGAGAGGTTGAGAGGCAACAGACATTAGGTTGGTTTTGGGCTTCGTTTCCCTGCGGCCCACTGGATCAGATCTGAAGCCGAGCATCCAATCGTGTACAGGAGTCAAGTTCATGCTACCGCAGTTATCGGAATATAGCCATTTGAGACATCGAATGACTGAAACACGAGGAAGACGAGTCGAGCTCTCACCTCACCCCTCGGAGTGACCGTTGGTTGGGCTGAAATGGCTGCTTTTATATCCACGCGCGTCCCTAAAAGGTCAAACGAAATCAGTATGCATCGAGAGTCGATACGAAAAGGTCGAACAAGCGAATAAGGTCTTCACGCGTTCTGAGCCGACGATAACAGAGCAGACATACGTGGAGAATATGAGTGGGAAAGTAGGCGAACCGCCGTTCAGTGCACTCACAACTCATTCAACCGGTGTAACATGGAAGAAGGCGAAGGAAAGTTCTACAATGAGACTCGGGTTGTATACCTGACGTGGCGCACCACAGGATGTAATCCACATTGATTCTGTCCAGGTCCGAGTCTGCCCAGCCGGTCGCCGCTAGCGACGTTAAGAGGTTTGAGAGCAGCAAGCGTCGGTCTCTCCGCACGCGGTACAACTCTGCTTCCAGATTCGCTACTGTTTCCATCATGACAGATGTCGTGGAGACTATTACTAACTTCGACTCGAACTACATAAAGGCGCCTCACTTAGCCAGATCCCATAGCACTCATCCACATCCGACACCAAAAAGGGTGAGATACCGGCCACTACGATGTCTATTTTTCATGCATCAGCACGGCACGGCACGCGTGTGGTACGGCGAGCTGGTCAAGCGTAGCAGTGCAGCAGGTTGATGCCACACAGTGACTTTGAATGTGCGAGTTGACATAAACCACACGCTGTGTGAAATCTGACAATCTGTCTACACACAAATTGGAAACCTATCGGGTGAGAGCTCTGAATTCTGGTCGTCCCACTAAAACAATCTCTACAAGCAATTTCGGCTTTTCTACAACCACTTTCATTGAATTTATATTCAACTTAACCAGTTTTACAATCCAGCATCTGAAATCCTATCTTTCTTGCCCCTCTATCATACACAACCAGCTTGTCACGCATAGCTACATCTGCATCCACAAGTTTCACATCCATATCAGCGAGGATTTCAAAACGCATGAAGACATGCGCGGAAAAAATCATGCTCCTCGTACCTCCAATAATGGTGATAGGTTGGCCCACCACACTATTTGAGTCATACACACAAAAGCACACCAAGTTGTCCTGCAGGCCAGCAAACAAAATGTCAGTCATTCCAGTAAATATTACACAATGTATACAGTAGGAGGCGAGCCATGGGTACTCACAAACAGCCAAAGGTAGTTATGTGGTGGTAACTCCAGGTTGGCACCATCCATCACGATTGCCACAGTCGGAAAAGCAGACTGCAATGTCGCCGTATCGCTGGAATGGAACACAATGATATGCTTAGTATGAAGTCAAAAACATAACGACATGCGTAAGAAACTGAAGAGAACAACCTTGAAGAGACATTGTAGCACAGATTTAAAACAGATGCGACGTTCCCACCAGCCAGCTGATTGATTTCTTCCTGAGAAAGCCTTTGAGCTTTCCCATCAACAGCTTGGATTACCTGCAGATCAAATAATGTTAATGATACAATGATATACAATAACACCCACGTTGATGGGAAAGGGCATGAAAGGCTTAAGGAACCTACTGCTTCTCTGAGGGGAGTGTACGCCGCTTCTGGGAGCGTGAGTGCAGTACTGCCGCTATCAATGATGCCACCAGTTCCAGAAAACGTGCCAGCAGGGATTTGTAGATCCTCGCCATTCACCTGAATACCAAATATCGTCGCATTGTAAACCCTGCACAGCGAAACACATGTCAGAGAGAACAAATGGGCCCAGCCTGAATATTTATAGCATACATAGGCACTTACGTGGTGTCATCCCCCATAGGGACGAACTTCATGCTCGAGTCAGCCATAGGAGGTGGGCCAAAGGTTATGAATCCGCCCCCATCCTCCCCACCCAAACAATGTGAAATTATATTCCCCTGAAGAACTCCCGCTTGCACTAGCTGTGAAGGGATGGAAAGAGGGCTTTGGCCAAGGCCAACCAGACCAATCAAGGGGTCTTTGAGAAGCCCCTCGGCTTCATGAAAGTCACAGCTGAAACAAACAACCAGGTGGTTAGCAACTCCCCATAAAATGCACACTGACCAACACGTAACAATCATTACCCAAAGGCAACAGGTGCTGATAACTCTGCTGGGCGGCCTGGAAGAGTTAGTATGTCACGCATTACAACTCCACCAGTGTAGCTTCCATCACCATATATGACAGCATAATTGCAACGACTTGTGCCATTAGGCCTGCTCAAACACGATGTTCTGAAAACGTCAACGATCCACCTGAATCAAGCTAAAAGTGAATTAGTTAATTTTACTTACCCGCATCCAGCAATGCAGCGACCTCGAACTCCAAGCCTTGTGCAACCGATTCCGCAACCTGCCCGATATGGTCCGGCGCAGGTGGTTTCATTGATCGCTTTGCACTCAGCACAATCGATTCTCTGACGAGTCGTTGACTGTTGAGCATTGAACGACCGAGCCTGGAATGTATAACACCGTGGAAGTCAGGATTTTACCATCATGCAAATTCATACAGTGACAGATGGACCCCTTACTCTTGTATTACGTGGGCAGTTTACGCAGCCAGTGCATCTGACCCACAACAGGTCGCTTCCAGTGTCAATGATGGTGTTCAGTGATTCCTTCTGAGAGCCCAGCTGCAGTGTAACGTAATAGGTCCTGTTGTAAAACGCTGCGTCAGGACACAGATATGCATCATATTCAGAAAGCAAACGAACGACCGACTGGTGACATACCCCAGTTGCTCAACGCCTCCATTAATCGGAAGGGTTGATTCCTGACCCCCTTCCTGGAGCTTCCTAGATCCAGAGGTCGCAGCGCTCTGAAAAGAACCAGACAAATAATAGGTGAAAGCGACGAAGAATGAAACGTACTGATAGGCACAAGGTTGACGGATGGAATGTGCCAGGTTTGGAACAGCACCTTACGAATACGCCTCAAAATAACCGCTGCTCGAGACTGTGTCTGCTTCTCCAGCCACTGTTTGTAAGAGCCGAAGGTGCTAGGACGGTTGTCTGCTGAAACTGTATGCTGGTGGCGAAGCTTGAACGTGAATACTGAACTTTCCTGCACGGAGCCATAACTAAACGGAAAGAACGCAAGGACGCAGAGCAGCGGGAATAGCAAGCCACAGGAGCCCATGGTCACTCGAGGATGGAGAGCTCAAGAGGCGTGAGTGAACGGGACAAGCTACTGGCTGCTAAAATACTACAGCAGCGAGGTAGCCTTGACTGAGGACGGAATGACCTGAAAAGGGTACGATCGTTGAGGACGAATGGCAACGTCGAGAAAACACAGTTGATGCCTTACATTGAACCATTACCTTTCTAGGCTCCTCGCGTCACAGATAGGAATGCGCGCTTCGGAACCTGGGTCGTTCCAGGCTGGATTGAAGTCACTCGCGTGACGGGAACAGAGGAGAAAGGTCGTGATTGGTGAGGTAAGGATTCAATCCATGGTAGAGGTAATCAGTAGGAAGCGGAAACGGAAAAGGCTCAGCGAGGATGTGGAGGAATCCTCGGTGAACTCAATTGAAGAGCGGGAGTGTTGGCAGGCATGCAGGCGATCAGTAATGACCGTGTAAAAGCTGCTCTTGTTATATGCTACAGTTTCGCAGAATAGATAGAACTGCTTCCAGATGCAATTAAAGATGGGGAAACTTAAAAGAAACACCATAAGGTAGATGGCTCAACCATGTTTAACCGAATCCATGGTAAAACTACTTTCCCAGAAATTGATTCTATGGGAATTCTGAAATACCTTACATACATTTAAAACAGTAGTAAACGAAACATCGTGATGTTAACAAGAGAGTCAATCAGCATACAGGAAGGCACAAGTAGCAACCTAGGCGTCGAAAGACGCACCACCCCTAGTACCAGTACCTTTTGCGGCAGCACCCCCAAAACCAGCACTCCCATCGTCAGCACCCCCAGAATCAGCACCCACAGTGGCAGCACCCCCAGAACCTGCACGCCTACTGGCAGCATTCCCAGAGTCCACAGCAATAGGCTGAGGTGCGGCAGCAATGACGGCTGTGGCGGCGACAAAGGCTGCAACGGCATCTGCGAGAACAACGCTGGTGATAGCTGTCAAACTATGTTTGTAGAAATAGATATGTTATAGTGAGTTGCATGTTAGGGGGTACAGAAACTATCTCAATACTTTGCTTGTATCCCCCCTTTGACCTAATCCTACCCCATTATCTCTCAACTACTTAGTTCTTAAGATGGTATCACGAGAAGGTGAGTTCCTCACCTAGCCTCGAATTGCCCCGCCCCTTAGCATGTCGTGCCCCGTCCCCTTAGCAGGTCGCGCCTTGCTCATTCGCAGGCCCCGCCCCTAGCCTACATCGTATTCGTCACGTCCCTTACCCTCGCGTGCAGCCTGTTCGCGCCACTAGCACGCACGATCGCACGTGCGCGTCGGCCATGCATACGCAGCAGCGCACGCGCACGCGCTGTAGCTGCCGTCCGCACATACGCTCGCCACGCATGCACAGCAGCGTCAACCAACTCCAGCACCCTATCACTAACTACTACCGTGCCACCCGTCCTGTTGTCACTCGTGTTCTCGCCTCTCTTGTCACAGACCCTCGTGCCTCTCCGCCGTCTGTCTCGGCTCTTACTGTCACTGTCTCTAACTTTGCCGCCACCTTCCGCCTTGATTACGCCACCCATGTGGTAGCTGCCCGTCCTCTGTCCGCCGGGGCTGAGTTCGCCCTTAGCTGTGACGTCCTAGAGGACATGCGGTTTGAGCTGGAGTTCTTGGCAGCCACTTCTACCCATCTCTGTACCATGCTGCTAGCTCCTGAGGAAGACCCCGACGCCCTTGACATACCGACTCCTCGCACGTGCAGTGAGGCAGTGTCAGGGCAGTGGGCTTCTCAGTGGATAGCGGCCATGGACTCAGAGATG